CATGTGCTTATTTATATTACCTGGCCTGGGTGTTTCTGACTGAAATCTGTCCCTGTTTGTAGGTATTTAGAGCTCTGTGACATAGGTTAGAGCAGGCCTCCTGGGAGGTAGGCAGTGCTGACTTTGGTTAGTGGACATCTGCTATGTCCTTGGTTAGAGCATGCTCCTTTATCTCTTGTTATGGCAGACCTCCTGGGAGATATACAGGCTATGGTTTGTGGGAGAGGGGAAGGAGCACCTGATCTGCCCCAGATGAAGTTGCAGACCAGAAGGAAAATGTAGCTACAGCAGAGCAAGTAGGCCCAGTGTCCAACGGGCTCCATGGTACTCTCAGCTAGGGCAGGTATTGGGGCAGAGGACTCACCAGTGTCCCTGGTTACAGCAAACTTCCTGGAAGACAGGCAGGCTGTTTGGTATGGGAGAGGGGCAGGCATGCCCTCCATGTGCCTCCACTGTCTTGTTTTAATTCAGAATTTCAGTGGAACAAAAGACATCAGAACTGAAGGACTGACTTGGTATGTTTATAGCTTGGTTAGAAAATAGCAAAACCATATGTTTGGAAAACAAAACATAAGTGTGGCACAGCAAGCATTCGCTAATGAGATTAGTGTGACTAAATACGAATGAATACTTATGCATCATTTGAATGAGCAAAGACCATCAGGACATTCCATATTCATCACCATGGACAATACATTCAATCTTCTAATGTATAACTATCCAATTTGTAGCAATACATTCCTGGCCACCAAGATCTATTAGCTTCTCTAAATGTAAAATATAAAAGTCTCATCCTCATAGAGGGAAAGAACCTGCAACATCCCTGCAAGGTTTAAATACATGTTTATCTGGACTTGTGGAAAGCACTTTTAGATGAGAGCTCTTCTCTGAACATCTTGAGCCCAGAACCAACAGTTCAAATTAACCTCAGCAACATTGTCTTCTATGTTAAGTGCCACTTAAAAAAATTCCACTTTTAAAAATAGAGTTACTTGGTTCTCTGGAGTCTAACTTCTTCAGTTCTTTGTATATTTTGTATATTAGCACTCTATCTGATGTAGAATTAGCAACGATCTTTTCCTAATATATTGGTTGCTGTTTTGTCCTACTGATAGTGTCCTTGATCTTATAGAAGCCATGGTGTTCTGTTCAGAAAATTTTCCCCTGTGCCAATGTGTTTGAGGTTCTTTCCCACATTCTTTTCTGTTAGATTCAGCGTATTTCGTTTTATGTGGAGGTCCTTGATCCTCTTGGACTTGAGCTATATACAAGAAATAAGAATGGATCAATTTGCATTCTTCTACATGCTGACTGCCAGTTAAACCAGGACCATTTGTTGAAAATGCTGTCCCTTTTTCCTTCTGAATTATTTTGGCTTCTTTATCAAAGATCAGGTGACCATAGGTGTATGGGTCCATTTTCGGGTCTTCAATTCTATTTCATTGATCTGTCTGCCTGTCTCTGTACCAGTACCATGCAGTTTTTATCACTATAGCTCCATAGTATAGCCTGAGGTCAAGGATGGTGATTCCTCCAGAAGTTCTGATATTTTTGAGAATGGTTTTTGCTATTCTGTTTATATATATTTTATTTATCTGGAATGAAGATATATATATCTTCATTCCTAATAAATTTGAGAATTGCTCTTTCTATCTCTGTGAAGAGTTGAGTTGGAATTTTGATGGGGATTGCAGTGAATCTGTAGATTGCTTTTGGTGGGATGGCCATTTTCACTATGTTAATCCTGGTGATATATGAACATATATATCATATGGATGAACTTTCCATCTTCTGAGATCTTCTGTGATTTCTTTCTTCAGAGATTTGAAGTTCTTATTATACAGATGTTTCACTTTCTTGGTTACAGTCACACCAAGATATTTTATATTATTTGTGACTATTGTAAGGAGTGTCACTTCCCTAATTTCTTTCTCTGCCTATTGATCATTTGAATAGAGGAAAGCTACAGATTCAAATGAGTTAATTTTTTAAGAGCCACTTTGCTGAAGTAGTTTATCAGCTATAGGAGTTCTCTTAAGGATTATTGTTTGGGTCACATATGTATATTATCATATCATTCGTAAATAGAGATATCTTCACTTCCTTCTTTCCAATTTGTATTCTTTTCATCTCTTCCAAAAAATGGGGTATAGAGCTAAACAGAGAATTCTCAACTGAGAAATCTTGAAGGGTTGAGAAGCACTTAAAAAATATTCAACATCCTTAGTCATGAGGGAATTTCAAATCAAAATGACCCTGAGATTCCACTTCACACCAGTTAGAATTGCCAAGATTGAAAACTCAGGTGACAGTAGGTTCTGGTGAGGATGTGGAGAAAGAGGAACACTCCTCCATTGCTGGTGGGAGTGCAACCTGATACAACAACTCTGAAAATCAGACTAGCAGTTCCTCAGAAAATTGGAAATAGTCCCACCTAAGGACCCAGCTATACCACTCCTGGCCATATACCCAAAAATGCTCCAACATGTAACAAGGACACATACTCCACTATGTTCATAGCAGCCTTATTTATAATAGCCAGAAGCTGGAAAGAACCCAGATGTTGTTCAATATAGGAATCGATACAGAAAATTTAGTAGTACATTTAAAAAATGGAGTACTACTCAGCTATTAAAAACAATAACTTCATGAAATTCTTAGGCAAATGGATGGAACTTGAAAATATTATCCTGAGTGAGGTAACCTAGTTACAAAAGTACACATGGTATGTACTGCTTGATAGGTAGGTAATGGCCAAAAAACAAAAAAAAAAAGCTTGGAATAACCACAATACAACTCACAGACTATATGAAACCCAAGAAGAAGGAAAACCAAAGTGTGGATGATTCAGTCATACTCAGAATTTGGAAAAAAATAATCTCTGGAACTAGAGGGAGAGAGGGATCTGGAAGGGAGAGAGGATGAGGGAGGGAAAAAGGCAGCATTTCAGTTAAGGAAGGAGATTGGGGAGAAGTACAGAGGGTCAGGAATTTGACAGATGGCTATAAGCTATTGTAAACAGGCAGCTTTTGTGGAAAATTACAAGCCTGAGTAGTCATAGACCTTGTAAATAGGTAGCCTTGGCAGACAATACCAACTTAGGTAAGGACAAATAAGTCATAGGCAGAGTCATAGTGACCTGTCTCCTGAACCTTCACCCAGTCGATACCTGGTTCTGAAAGATAACTGCCTTCACTCTGAACACCCACACTCCAGTGTCATCCCCTTCCCCACATCCTGCCTTTCTGTGTTTATAATCCCTGTGTGAATGAATTACGATTCGAAAAAAATAAAGTATTAAAAAAAAAGAAAGGAGGTGTGTAGCAAGGGATAGGGGAAACTGGGAGTAGCCACTAGAAAGCCCCAGAATCCAGGGATCAAAGAGGTTTCCAGGACCCAACAAGGAGGAAAATAGCCGAAATAACCATCAAATGAGAGATAGAATCTGTAGAGACCCTATCCAGTGGATAAACACAGCCCCTGTTGAGGGATAGGGCTACCCACTCACCTCAAAAATATTAATCCAGAATTCCTCCTATCAAAAGGAAAGGCAGGGACAAAGAGTGAATCAGAGACTGAAGGAAAGGCCACCCACCCACTGCTCCATCTAGGGATCCATCCCATCTTCAGACACCAAACCCAGACACAATTACTGACACCGAAAGGCACTTGCTGACAAGAGTCTGGTACAGCTGTCCCCTGAGAGGCTCTGCCAAAGCCTGACCAATATAGAAGCTGGTGCACACAACCAAATATTGGGCTGAGTACTTGGACCACAAAGGAGAAGTTAAGGCAAGGACTGAAGGAGATGAAGGGATTTGCAACCCCATAGTAATGTCAACAATATCAACCAACCAGATCCTCCAACATTCTCAGGGACTAAACCACCAAGCAAAGAGTACACATGGGGGCACCCATGGCTCCAGCTGGATATGTAGCAGAAGATGACCTTATCTGGCATCAATGGAAGGGGATCCCCTTGGTTCTGTGGAGGCTCAATGACTCATCATAGGGGAATGCTAGGGTGCTGAGGCAGGAGTAGGTAGGTGGGTAGGGGAGCACCCACATAGAGGAAGGACAGGAGGAAGGGATAGAGTGTATTGGGAAGTTAAATTGGGAAGGGAGATAATATTTGAAATGTAAATAAATAAAATAACCAATTTTTAAAAAAATAATCCCATTGCATTCTTAACCCAAAGTCCTAAACCCACACTCCTCCCAACAAAAGCATGATCTGGGTTGTCAGAGCAATACTTTAGTCCCTAGTACCAACATCTCTCTTAGTTAGGATTTTATTGCTGAGAAGAGACACCATGACCACAGAAACTCCTACAAAAGGAAACATTTAATTGGAGCTTGCTTACTCTATCAGAGGCTTAGTCAATTATTTGATGGCAGAAAACGTGTTGACCTACAGGCAGACACAGTGATGGAAAAGGAACTACATTTTGATCTGTGGGCAGCAGGTGAATGTGTGCTACACTGGGCACACATAGACTGAGTATAGGAAATCTCAAGCCTGCCTCCACAGTAACATACCCTCTCCAGAAGGGCCAACCTACTCCAAATGGCCATACCTCCTAATAGTGTCACTCCTTATAACCCAAGCAGTCAAATACATGAATCTAGGAGGTGATGCCTATTCAAACCACTGCACAACTGTCAATTTTTATTCAAATTTATCTAATATTAATACTGTAGACTTAAACAAAACCTCATAAAGAAACATTTAATTTGACTGTATAAATGTAAATGAGTTAATAAACCAAAATTATACTAGTCACCCTTTCTTAAAGTACAACACAAAACAGTAGCATACATTTAACATAAAAATGCAAATATTTTCATAAACTATGTAGTCCAAAATACTTCCTACACAATTATATATGTCTTTACTTATCAAAGTACTTATTCATAGTTAATTATTACCTTGGTACAAACAATTGAAAATTCTAAAAACAACCTTATTTATTTAAATTGATATGAATCATATCACTTACATATTCCCATAAATACATAGATCAGTATTTTCTTATTATAGATCCAACAACGTCCTCTGTCTCCACATCTATTAATGTCCCAGTATATACAAGCTATATCCGTTGACAGTGAAAACAAGAGTGGTTCAGGGATGGATGCTGCAAAAGAACCAATGATTATTAGTTCTTCATGAAAAAAGTTAGAAAAATTTCTTCTCAACACACACACACACACACACACACCTTTTAGCTCAATGTACTGCTATCAATTAAACTAAAACATATTTCTATTCATGTCTTTTATTATTAGTTAGCTTAAAAGCGAGTGAGTTTTTATAGATCATCTGTTAATCTAGGTTTTGATTTACCCACCCATTATTGCTTCTCTTGTTCATCTCATCCCCATCTTCTTAAAACCACAGTACCCAGTATTTCCCCCCAAGTCTCATGTCACATAAGTTTTATCATTTTTTTTTATACTTTTACTCACACTGCAAGATCACTGTTGCCCATGTAACTTCTTTGTGATGACTTCATTTTCTCTAAGGCTTCCCATGGCCCTCCTTTTGATGCTCTACTATTTCACTCTCTGTGGAATCCCTCTGTTTCCTAAACTCTCCCTCTTTACTTTTATCTCACCTACATTCTGCCATCCCTCTGTCCCAAATGCATCCTATCCAGCAGTGGGCCACTTCTAGTTTCAACATGTACTTTGGATTAAACCTACAAATGATCAGAAGCTAGGGTCCACATGTGAAAATGAACATTCAGAATTTTATCTTTGAACATGGGTGACCTCACACAATATAATTCCTTTTGATTATAGACACTTGCCTGCAAATATTTCAATATCACATTTTCTTTACTGATAAATAATATTATACTATGAATATGTATGCATTATTATGGTCCATTCATCAGCTGGTGACCATCTAGGTTACTTCCATTCCTAGCTGGAATGCCATATAAAATCAATAAGCACAAATATTCAAGTATCTCTGGAATAAGATATCAATTCCCTTGGTTATATGTCCATGTATAGTATAACATGTTGTAAAAATCATTTCAGAGTTTGAACAGATGTATCCTACATTAGTAAAAACAAAAAAATAACAAAAAATAGAAAAAACAAAATGAAACATTAAATGAAAATCTTAGTGTCAAACACAATATTCTTTGTGTTGGTTATTGTTCAGGGAGACTCTAGAAGCATCTGAAACAATACAGTTTAATGTCATTGATCATATTATCACTACAACTACATGATAAGATCCTATTACCGAAGACACCACACTCCTTGCTTACAGGACACAGAGAAAATAACCCTGAAGTCTCCCTACTGACAAGAAGAAGTAGGAAATTAATTTGAACATATAGATGTTATCTATAATCTATCAGTCCAACTTGTGTGCAGTGATGAAGATACTTCAGCTCCAAATGTAAGGCTCTAAATAACACGGTATAATGAATCCATATTTTGTTTAACTGGATGGCTTTTATTTTACCTAATTTTTTTTCTGTATTTAATTGGGTTCTAGTTATATCAGAGCAATCTCATAGTCATTTTTGTATCATTTTAAATTATTATTTACCTTTAAGTGTAAATATAGATGCAAATTTACATATTAAAAATGAACAATTTGGTATATTGAATGTAGCTGAAATCACATACCAGTAAATCTCAAAATTCCATAGGTCACACCCAGGCCAAGTGAATTGAAGTTGGCAGGTACACTTCTGAAAGCAAATAGCAATGATATTACCTGTGAGTCACACATGCTAGGTTTATGATTTTAAATGTAATATTATACTTAGTTTATACACAAATATTTAGCTGGGTAACCTGTGGGAAGCCATGGCAAGGCCTTCCTCTTGGCTAACACTCACCCTTGGCTCTCCTATCTACTATTCTTTCTGCTTACCTTCCATGATTCACTTGTCAGTTCTCAGACAAACAAGGCCTCATAGCAACCCACCTTAGTAACCCTTCCTCCGGATCTTTAGATTTAGCCAACATCCTGCTAGATAGAGTTTTTAGAAACCCTGGTAATGGCAAGGCTTTGTGAGAACAACCTAGTTAGACCCCATAGCTGCAGCTAGCTTCCTCCACCTGCAAAGCCCTCTTTCCTACCCCTCCCCATATCCTGTTTTCACAGTATGTAACCTGTGTGAACAATAAAATGTTTGCTAGCTTGATCAGATTTCATGACTTGCTGTCCCTTTTTATTTTCTCGCACATCTCCGTCCTCTCCACCGGGTCTAAGGGTCCCACTTGATTGGGACATAACCAAAGTTCAATTTGGCCTATGAATATGGTGTATATCTATCCATTTCCCCGTTATTTAACCTGACACATAAAAACCCGAAAAACTTTACATCATTTAAATAAGGAGATATTCACCCAAACTGATGCAAACACATCTAATTGAACAAGCCACACAGAAAGAACTTACCTTAATTTTTCCAAAGAGAAAAAACTTTATAGACCAAATCTGCCTGAGCCACCTTTTCCTGAAACACCTCAGCTCTGTCTAGCTCTCACGTTTACTTCCCTCCTTTTGCCAGGCATGGCATTGCCTGGAGTCCATTTCAGCGTTGTTAAGTCCACTCTGCATTTTTCTAGTTTGGTGTTTCTTTTGGATTCTGCACTCCATATATTATGTCAGTGAGTCTATACTTCACATTCTGGCTTTTGACTGGGTGCTACCTAAATGGCACTTTGAAAGCAGGAGAGAGCTTAAGTCCGTTCTTTACCTTCAGCCTTCTCATTTGGAGTGACTGAGTCCCACAGAAGGTTGTCTTCCTTACAAGGATTTCTCTCTCACTCTCATGCACTGGAGTTCATGGTGGCTGCATACCACACTATGCAATTGAGTTTATTACATCCAGCCTCATCTGGTTGCAACTTTATTCAACTTTATTTGATTTATCCTAATTTCTGTGTTCCCTTCCTTTTATTCTTTTCCTTATTATAGTCGTAACTCCAAATTAAAATGAATAAAAAACCACTTTATATCATTTAAATAAGGAGACACCCACATGATGCTAACAAATCTAATTGAGCAAGCTGTAGATATCCTTAAAGATAAAAGAGGCTTCTTGGGAAGAATGAAATTTCCGCAGGAACAGAATAAATTGTATGTTTTTTTTTATTTTTTAAAATAAAATGCAAATTTATTATATGCATTTATAAGTAAAAATTTTTAAATAATAAAAAGGAAGATGTCTATATCTTTTTAAACAACAGATTTTTAAAATGTATTTATTCACTTTACACCCCAATCACAGAACCCCATGCCTCCTTTCTCCCAGTGATATGCTTACAAATCCCTCCCCCTGTGACCTCTTTATCTACTCCCCATAGAAGGAGAACACCACCCTCAGGGTACCACCCTACTCTGGAACATCCATTCTCAGTAAGCCTATGTGCATCCTCTCTCACTAAGGCCCAAATGGGTTGTCAAATTAGGGACAGTTATTCCCACATCATGCAATGCAGTCAGAGACAGTCTCTACTCCAATTGTTATGGGATGCACTTGAAGACCAAGGTGTGCATTTACTACAGCTGTGTAAAGGCCTTAGGTTCAATCCCTGCATGCTCTTTTGTAAGTGATTTAGCCTTTGTAAGTCCTCATGGGCCCATGTCAGTTGACTCTGTAGGTTTCTTTTGGTATTCTTCATCTTCCAGCTTACTCAATTCTAATCCTCTCTCTTGTATTTCTTATTTATTAAATAAAATGAGGAAATAATGATGCAAAGCTATATTTTAAATCAGCACCTTATAATTTCCCTTCACTATTTATTTCTTTGCACTAAAATTTTCAACAGAATCCGAAATGCCTCACTTTTAAAATTCAGTCACTATTCCTAATTAATAGTTTCATAATTCATGTCTTTAGCATTCAGGATTTTAAATATATAATGAATGCATACTTAGAAGAGCAAAACAAAATGAAGCAAATGCAGCACAGAAACTTATATGCATATACATACACCTGGACTCGCTTACTGACATATACCTCCTGCTACCTTCTGTTTTTAATCATTCTCAGTCTATTAAAGGTTATCACCATAATTACCTTTTAATGTTTCCAATATTTATGTAACTAATTAAAACTATGTCTCTGAATTACCCTACTCTTTATAGATTGTAAACTATGTCCATTGATTTGTAGTTGACAATATATTCTTACTTAAAATTTCTTCCTTTATATTTTTCTTTCTTATAAATAATTATTTGTATAGGGACTGTGTGTCAATATGTAGCCCTGGCTGCCCTGAAAATCCCTATGTAGACCAGGTTGACTTTGAAGTAAAAAATATGGACTTTTCTGCCCCTCAAGTGCTCTGTTTATAGGGATACACTACCATGCCTTGCAATTGCTTTCATTTTCATTATGTATGCCAACTGTACAAACTAATGACTTCTGAGTATATGGTGTACCTACTTTCTGTCTATTCTAACTTACTCTAGTTGGATTCCTTTATTGCTCCCAAGAAATTTAAGTAAGTGCATGTCTTAAAAGAAATGAATTCCATGTATGAGATATACTCAATGCTTGCCCGTAGTGATAATTTTGGCATTTTGGTTTTTGTATTAAGAAAAAAGCCACAGAAATATCAAGATGAATTTTTTTTCACTTAATCCCAGGTGTGTAGATATGGAGCTGCTTTGCAGCAGCTATGATTTGTTTCATGCTCTAGCAGGAGATTGAGTTTGCAAGCTGCAGATAGTTTCTGTGATTGGGTAATATTTGAAAAATCTGGGGACTTTAGAGGTTATAAAAAAGCTAGGGCCACAAAAGACGGATGGGTTGATGGTTGTTAGTCGGTTGTTGTTAGCAGATGGTCACAGTTTGTTAAGCAGTCATCCTCAAAGAAGAAAGGAGAAAAAGAAGTTAGACATCCTCTGCTATTAGTATTTAGATGAGGGTTCCTTGCTATGTAAAGCAGGCTGGCTTGAACTCATGATCATTCTGTCTGGGAATTCAAGGTTATGGAAAGATAGGTATGCTTGTACATAGAATCAGATCATCTGTATATTATATTTCTTCTCTTGTTCATACTCCTTATATCTTTTTCATGTATTCTTGAAAAAGATTTCTTCTGGCTCAGATTTCAAGTCTTACATTAAAGAATAACAGAGTTGACACTCTTGCTTCATTCTAAATTTCAAAGATAATTATCTAATAAATTCATTCAGCCCAGTGTTGGCTATTGGATTGTAATATGTTATGGCAGTTATGGTTCTTTATTTCTACTTTCTCCAGGACATTTTACATAAAAATATTGATTTTTTTGTCACAAAAATTTCCTTAATCTAATGGATAATCATTTTATATTTGACTCTGTTCTGGTACTATGTTTATGTATTCATATGTACAAAATAGTCCTTGTATCTTGTGAATGAAATTGGCTTGAAATGGACTATTGTTTAGGTTTTTTTGTCTGTTTCATTTTATTTTAAAGGACTATCTTTACATATCACTAGTCTAGCTAGATTGTTTCTTATATTCCTGGCTAATTATTATAGATAATATGTAAACTGAAATGTATCAATTTCTATTGTCTCTGCTTCCTTGGGTTATGAATATTCAGTATCCCTCTATGATCCTGTGTCATGTTGTATGATTGTATTATTGACTTTTCATCTCTTAGTTAGCATGTATTTTCTCATGAATTCTCTGAATATTCACAAAGCCACATTTTGTTACTTTGAATATAAGGTCATCAAGCTTAATTATCTGGTTTTAAACCAACTATGTTTCATTGATCTTTTTCATTGTTATTTTTTTGTCTCCATTTCATTCATTTCAGCTCTGATCATAGTTTTCTATGTTTCTTTCTTTTCTATATTTCTCTTTTCTTCCTTCCTTCTTTGTTTGCTTTTGCTCTTTCTCAAATTCTTTGTCTCTTTATTATGTGATTTAATTCTTTTTTATAGGCAGTCCCTGGTTTCCTAGGATGCAATAAAGTTCCTTTATTTCCAAGGCTGACTTTGAACTCTTGATCTCCATCATCAACCTTGTAAAAGCTGGGATTTGAGGCATATAGCAACACTTTCTACTTCATGGAATGCTGGAGACTGAGCCCAAGACTTTGTGGCTTTGTGAATATTTGAAGTGCTCTTCAAACAACATTATAAACCTAGCCTCCATTTTTTTCTACTAGTTTTGTGTTACTGTTGTTTTCCTAGGACCTGAAGATACATTCTTAATATATTTATTGAGGTGTCTGCAATTTGGAATGCATGCCCTTTTGTTTGTAAACCTCCTACCTGCAACTGACTTTTGTTTTGGATCTAAAATTTGTGTCTAAATCATTTGATAAGTCATTTGAGCAAATTTCGAGCTTCAAAACCAAAACATTCTCTTTTCTATTGATATGGAAAACCACATTTAGTTCCTTTGAGTGATAATAAAGCATCGTCTGAAGCACTCTTACTTTAAATGAACTTCCACTGCCATCCACAGGATTCTGAGATTGCATGAAATGTCATGCTTCCGAAGATTATATAATCATTTACTGAACATTTATTTTTCTATAAAATTCTGAAATTCATTATATCAGGGACATCGTGGACATTTTCCTTATCATCTACAGCATCATTTCCAGAGCAACTTGGCCTTATCTACTTATATTCAGTGCTGATCTCACAACATTTATATTCAGTGCTGATCTCACAACATTCATATTCATGTAGGATCCTCGTATTCAGAGTAGAAGTATATGTAGACATCTGTAAACTCTGAGAAGTTTTTCACATTTCTTCCTGTTTTCTTTAGAACAAAGAATCACTGAATAATGCAGACTGGCTTTAAACTTCTGATGTTCCAGCTTCAGAACTCAGTGTTGATATCAGCAGTCATGCCACATTTGCTTGTTGTTCCTTATAAATATTATTGTGAACATAGTAGCTGAAATTGAATATAGCTTCAATTTTTACAGACACAATTTCAAATTTGTCTGGTTTGTTTATCTCAAAAGTTACAAAGATATATGTGTATGAAGGCATGCTATGCTTTATTCATTTTAGTAACCAATAAAAATGAGAAGACTCAAAGTAACATTTCAGAAATATTCTCTCTCTCTCTCTCTCTCTCTCTCTCTCTGTCTCTCTCTCTCTGTGTTTGTGTGTGTAGAGTACATTTTTTGGATCTTTCATATCAATTTTGATGAAGTCATATTTTTACTAATAATTTATTGATATGTATCTGTGAATCAAGAAAGAGGGAAAAAGGAAGAGAGCATGTGTCTCTGTGTGTGTAAGACAGAGAAGAGACAGAGAGAGAGAGAGAGAGAGAGAGAGAGAGAGAGAGAGAGACAGGGACAGGGACAGAGACAGAGAGACAGAAAGAGAGAGAGAGAGAGCTGGCAGGGTGATACAGAGGGCAGAGGAAACCTTTACAAGATGTAGTATTTTTTCATTAACATGTGAGTACTAAGAAATTTATGTTATGTCCACAAACTTAGTAGCAAGTGTCACTCACTGAGATTTTTCATCAACTCAAGTATGTTTTTTCCCATTTCTCTTTCTTGAATGTGATATTCAAGTTAACATAATTATTCTTTTAGTTGCCCAAATGAGAAGTCTGAATATGATACTGGATGTCTCCATATTACAGCCAAGTTATAAATCTCACCCTTTTAACATAGACAGATACTTCTCAAATATACTCTGTGAAACTGTCTCTAAATGTCACTATTTCACCCACACTTTTCGTTTTCTCCACTTTCCACTTTTAATTCCATTTCCACACTGTCTTCAAATTACCCTATCAAGTTGTGTTATTTCCATCAGAACTGTATATTTGCTACAATACTCCACAATTTCTGTCTCTATGTTCACTCCACAACAAACTGAGAACATGGCAGAAGTAAGCTATTGCTTTTCTCTTGTTGGTCAGCCTTCATGGTATAGTTAGGCCTCAGACACACTTGTTAACCACTTGACAGAATAAGTTTAGAATAATGCCCTTCTATTATGTTTCTAGAGTAAAAAATGAGTTTGAATGGCCTTAGCATATTCTGGGTGAGGACATCAATGACAGATGTTGGGTCATTTCAGGATAAAAAAATTGAAGCTGTCAAACTACTCTGTTCCTTTGTGGATGACACTTAGGCTTTCTCATGGCCCAGTTGTTAATATAAAATTATAATTAAATACCTATACTAGTGAGTCAAATTTATACACATATCAAAAAAATTTAAAATTTTCTTGTTTTGTATTCATCACATATATTCAACAAGGTAAATATAATCTAACATTTCTTTCAAATTTATGTTGTTTAATGGTGCATAGATACCTACATTTGCTGTATGGAAATAGTTGTAATTCTAAAATTATGTACATTTTAAAATTAAAGTGAGACTAACTGTAGCATCTATACATGCTATATTAAAAACAAAGAAAAGAAAAAATTATACATATTCATAAATTTCATCAATATAAATATTTTCATTTTATATTTTTACTATAAAATAAAGCTCAGGAAATTATTTGCTGTAAAAATATGAACTATTTCTAAATGTATCACTTTCATGCATTACGTATTTAAAATTATGAAAATTACATACTTACTGGAGAATAATCGACATGACAGGTATAGTACTCATATTAGAAAACACAGTTGCAGAAAAGTAAAAGGCAAAAAACAAAGGTAATGTAAGACAGTTGCTATTACAGGTTCCGTCAACAGCATCAATGTATTGACCTTCGTCATCTGAAGTTGTCAATCCTTCTCTAATGCAAGAACAATTGTAGTATGTCTATTAATATTGAAAAAAAACAGTATTTCAGAAACAGCTAGTAGACTATAGCCTTATTATGATATAAATAAAATTATATTAGTATTCAATAGAGACTTCCCAGAGATTTCTTTGCTTTTGCTTATATAATATGTTATTTAGTAATATTAAAATATAATAATCTCATTTTCCCTTCCTTTCCCTTCTCAAAGCCTTCTATGTGTCCCTATTTCACAAATGTCCCAGTGTTTCTTTTTTAATTATTTTATGTATTGTTTTACACACATACACACACACACACACACTCACATAAATGCAACTTCTTCAGTTTGTATAACATAACTTGTATGTACAGTTTATATCTGACCATTTGTTATTTGATAAGCAATTGGTGTGCTCTTTGTGGAAAAATCTTTTTTTTTTTTTTGTCTCAGTATTTCTTTAAGAAGGCTTCACTATATAGCCTTGAACTCACAGAGGTCTGTCTGCCTTTGATTCCAGAGTACTGAAACTAAGGCATATGCCATGACACTCAGCTTAGAATGCTTACTTTTAAGAAATATTCTCATGCTAAACCTGCCTGGTATACATTATTTATAAAATAAAATTATTTGGAAAATCTGAGGTATTTTATCTGTTGGTGAATTACTGTTTATTTAGTTGTTTGTGGGTTTATAATTATAAATAAGGAACAGTTCTACAAATTTTAGGAATAGTAAACTTCTGTAAGTTTTATATTTATTGTACATCAGTATTAATTAAAGGCAATTATTGGTAATACAATTATTCATTTTATTAATTAATTTTATCTGAAATTTGAAATATGGACAATAACAAGACTGTGAAAGATTATGTTAATAATTTGTTTTGTGTATAAGTATGAACAGAGTTGATTTTTACTAAGCAGAGTAGAAAGACTGTTTTAGTGATCAAATGTTTTAAGAACATACAGAACATCAATTGTAATCTCAGCATTGGGAAGGCAGAAACATAAACAACACACACATACACTAATATGAACTATAAGCCGGATAACTCCTAGTGAAGTATAGCAGTCATTAAGTCTCCCAACCAAAAAAAATAAAATAAAAGTAAATAAACACATATGGATTTATTACACCATACTTCCAAGAAGAGTGATAACACATATTCCCCAAATTATTTCACAAAATAGAAACATATGGAACATTGGCCAATTCATTTCATAAAGTCAGAGTTACTCTAATACCAAGAAAACAGACAAACAAACAAACAAAAACCAAAAAATCAAATAAGAGTCAACAAAGAAAGAAAATTGGGGAACAATTTTGCTTGTGATACAGTAAAATACTCAATAAAGAAATTGCAAATCAAAGAATACATTTATATGATTATCTATCATGATCAACTTGACTTCATCCAAGAGAGACTGTGATGGTTGGACATAAGTAAGGGGGCTAATGTAATTAACTATATAAATGAAAGAAAGAAAGAAAGAAAGAAAGAAAGAAAGAAAGAAAGAAAGAAAGAAAGAAAGAAAGAAAAATTAAGAAGGAAGGAAGGAAGGAAGGAAAGAAAGAAGGAAAGAAAGAGAAGAAAAGAAAGAAAACCACAAGATCATCTCATTATATGCCTAAAATACTTTGACAAAAGCTAAAACCCTTCATAATAAAAGATTCACAGAGATTAAGGTTAAAAAGAGCATCCATAAACATAACAAAGCAATTAACAAAAAGCTTACAGACAGCAGCAAACACAAAGCAATTTCACTAACATCAGGAGCAAGTCAAGACTGGCAACTCTCTCCATATCTATTTAGGAGAGTACTTGAAGTCTCATCTAGAACAATAAGACATGGAAGGAGGTCAAGGGATTACAAACTAGAAAGGAATAGGTCAAAATATATTTATTTACAGATGATAGGCTAGTACTCTCAGTGACCTGAAAAATTCCATGAGAAAATATCTACAACTGATAAACACCTTCAGAAATATAGCTCGATAAAAAATTAATTCATAGAAATCAGTAGTCTTCCTATATCCAAATGACAAATGAGCTGAGAAAAAATCAGGGAAACCACATCTTACAATGTCCAGGAATACTATAAAATATTTTTGTGTAACTCTAACAAATTCAGTGAAAGACTTGCATGGTAAGAATTTCAAATCTTTGAAGAAAGAAATTAAAGAAAATATCAGAGGATATATGCACACGGATCTTTAGTATGCCATGATAAAAATGACAATTCTATCAAAAGAAACCTTATATATTCAATGAAATCCAACATTATCTATCCAATACATTTATTTACTAAATTTAAAAGAAAATTTTTCAACTTCATATGGAAACACACAATTCAGGAGAGCTAAAACAGTCCTGAACAATAAAAGAATTGCTGGAGGTATCATCACCCTTAATTACAAGACGCACTACACAGGTTTAGAAATGAAAACTGCATAGTATAGTATTAGCATAGAAAAGACATGTTGGTCAATGGAATCAAATTGAAGACCCAGGCATACAACTATATAATTACAGACACCTAATTTTTAGTAATGACACCAGAAATGCACACTGAGAAAATGAAAACATTATCAATGAATCAGTGAATTGTGCTGCTCAACCTGGATATCGGCAGGCAGAAGAATGTGAATAGATCCATATTTATTACACTATATGAAACTCAAGTCCAAGTGGATCAAAAACCTCAACGTAAAACAAGACACACTACATCTGATAGAAGAGAAAAAAGAATCATCCATGAAAGTATTGACACAGAAGACAACTTTCTGAATAGAACACATACAGTGCAGGCAATAAGATCATCAGTTAGGAAATGGGGCTTAATGTAAATAAAAAATTTCTGTAAGACAAAGGAAACCATCATCCAGAAAAAGAGACCGTCTAGAGAAAAGGAGGAGACTTTTATGAACTCCACATCCACTAGAGGTCTAATACTCAAAATATATGAACAAATCAAGAAATTAGGTATCGAAATTTAAGAGAAATTAGGTATCAAAAACCCAAATAATCCAATTGAAAATAAAATATGATGTAAACAGAATTTTCAACAACAGAATTGCAAATGGCCGAGATACACTTAATGAAATGTTTCCCATTCTTAGCCATTAGAGAAAAGCAAATCAAAACAACTCTTAACATTTCATCTTACACCTATTAGAAAGACTAAGATCAGTAATAAGGTGAAATGCTCCTGGTGGTGAAGATGTGGAATAAAGGGGACATTCCCCCCCTTGCTGGTGGGAATACAATCTTGTAGAGACACAATGGAACTCATTACAGAAGTTGTACAAAAAATTGGGAATCAACCTACCTCAAGACTCAGATATACCACATTGCATATACCCAAAGAATGCTCTACCCTACCACAAGGACAAGTGCTCATCTATGTTCATTGTGGTTCTATATATAATAGCCCAAAACTGCAACTATCCTAGATGTAACTTGACAGAATAAAGAATATGTGGTACATTTACACAATGGATACTCAGCTGTTAAAATGTGCCATCATAAAATTTGTTGACAAGTGACTGGAACTAAAAAAAATATAACATTCCTGAGTGAAGTAATCTATACTAGAAAGACAAGTAGTGTATGTACTAATTTATAAGTGGATATTTTCTGTTAAGTAAATAATAATCAAACTAAAATTCACAGACTCAGAGAAGTTAGTAAAGAGGAAGAATCTAGGGGAGATATATGGACCCTCTTAAGAAGGAAAAATAAAAAATAAATTTTGTGTTTAGACTGAGTGCAGATGATGAAAGGAGTGGGTGGTATCAGATGGAGATGAGAGTGGAAGAAACAAGTGTGGGGAGAGACTGCTCAAATTGAGGCACATGGCAGGGAGCATGTTGTAGAAGCCTATTGCAGTAGAGAATTCCTGAAATCTATGAGGGTGAACCTAATGAGGATCCCTAGAAATGGAAGTTATGAAGTTTGAACTTGCCTGTGGACAAGCAAGTGGTCCGGAGGTGAGACTGTGTTGCATTCCTTTTAGTTGTTGACTGAAGGAGTTCCATTTAATCCTAAACAACACAGGTTAAATGCTGGGACAAAAGCTCACTCTCTGAAAACCAACATCATGGCCCATTGCTAAGGAAAAACACCCACACAGCTCATTGAATGCCAAGGGCCTGCACTGAGATTCATCCCTACCTCTAGTTCTGAACTTCTCAACATATAGGTCACAATCTCCATCTGGTTGAATGGCATGTTTATAGGTGTTGCATATCAGCTATTTCACATACCAGATATTTCCATCATTATTAATATCAGTAGCAAAATTATACTTATGAAGCACCAAAAAAATGTTGTGGTTTAGGGAACCACATGAGGAACTATATTACAGAGTTCTTGTATTATACTATATATTATAGAGTCTTGAATTAGCAAGACAGAGAACCACTATTCTGGTCCCTTTTGTACTAGATGATATTCTGTGTGCTAATGAAAAACTAAACTGGCACATAACCAAGCCACACAACTCTCAACCTATAATCCTGCCAGCAAGATGTGCTAGGAGAAGTGATGATGCAGAACTTGTGGTAATAATTCACCAATATTTGGTTTAACTAGAGTCCTATGCCACTAGAGGAAGCCCATGGCCTACACCACCTAGATACCCATGACCTGAAGACTGGATAGACCAGTAACCTAAGCTAGGTAAATATATAAGATCATAAAGAAAAATACAAGGTTTATTATTACATAAATTTGTAAAATAAATGAACTTTTTTTAAAGAAATATAAATGTGTTCTCAAGGAGCCCCATTGTCCAAATTACTAATATGAAGGAAAGGTATTTTTTTAATTTTAGTAAAAGTAGTATTTTTCCTTAGTTTTATCAAAATTATTTTGTTGTTTTAGTTCTTTCCTATTTGAAGTTAATGCTGATTGTGAACATTCTTCCATTCCATCCATAACATATTTTATAACCATAGTCTGCTTTCGTCAATTTTGCTTCAAAGCTATTATTTGAAACATGTCTTTTTATATAACTTCTGGTAGCTATACTCTTCACTGCAAATATTTTGTTTCTACCATTTTTAACTATCAATTGCTATCATAAACTCTGTGTGTGTGTGTGTGTGTGTGTGTGTGTGTGCGTGTGTTGTGTATTTTATGGAAACTTCATATTTGGTATACATTATGTATGAATTATACCTTGTAGAAATGTAAGAAAATCATAAATAATTCCTTTAGATAAGTTTCCCATAAAGGAGAGTAGCTTAATATTGACAATATGCTTAGCATCTCAGTGAACAGTTGGCCCTGTTGGTAGAAGGTCTGGTTAGCCAGTTTGACGATCAAGAGCTAAGTACAGTTGGTCAGCCACTCATCTGCTGTGAGGTGGAGTGGGCACAGGGACGATGCTCTCCCCCTGAACCCTTGCCACCTGAAGTAGTCAATAGAGCTGGTCCTGAGGTCCCGAGAGTAGCCCTACCCTTATTGGATATACCACTTGGAAAAGCAAACACTGGGTCTCACTGAGTGGATCTAGCCCTGATGGCAAAGGCAGTGAGAGAGAGAGAGAGAGAGAGAGAGAGAGAGAGAGAGAGAGAGAGAGAAGTGGCCTAGGCTCTCACTGGCTGTAGGACTTGAGAGAATAAGGCCCATGCCTTGATTGAGCAGGATTGTGAAGTTGACTCTAGAGGCACACATATGAGGTGTGGGTGAGTCAGCCCTGTGGGCATGAGAGTTCAAGAGTTGACCCTGCTACCTGTTGATATTAAGATTGGGTGGCCTAGTTGGAACAGTGCTGGAGAGCTGGCCCTGGTGATGTAGGCAAGGGACAACTGACAGACTTACCAGTTCAGCTATGACCTAGACTTTTTATTGGCCTGCCCCAAAATCCATATCATCTGTGAACTCTTTTGCCATGTGATAAGCTGGAGGATCTCCATGACCCAAGGCAACAACTTGATAACAGGGAGGATGCCCATTAAGGATCCAATATTTATGATGTGATAGAAGTCAGAGACTTTGAACCAGACCCAGGGCTCATTGCAAAGAATATTTGAAAATGGAGGTGGGTGGACAAAGGGGTAAGACAAACTCTAGCGTTCTCAGGGAGATGTTCTTTTATGTTTTGTTTTATTTATTTTTGTTTATGTTTCATACTTTCATTTATGACAAAGGTTGCAAGGCAAAAGGGCAAATACAAGGGGAAATAAGATGCATGAAACTGGGGAATGTAATGTGAAACTCTTAAAGAATCAATACAAAGTAAAAAAAAAACTAATTATATCTTCCTCCTACCTGGCCTCACCTCTTAAGGAAGCTATCACCTTCTATATCAGTCATACTCTGGACAAATATTCTGACATATAATCGTTGGAGGGTCATATTCAAATTATGTCCAAACTATCACACTTATAGTAACATTTACTTAGTAAGTTAGATATGGTGATTAACAACAATAACAAATAGTGCTTTTTAATTACATTTAGATTTCTCTCATACTTTAAAAACTTAAATACTATTTTAACATGTGTTTTTTAGCAAAATGATTTTTGTGTCATAAATCTGTTTCATACTAATGCCTGTCAAAAATCTTGTTTTGATACTAATGCATAAATGCTACGGAACATGTTAATACAATATCTCTGACTCAGTAAACATAATCTTTATTGCTCTCTTTAATTCACAAAATCAGGAGAGGAAAATAGAAATGACTTTGTTTAAGTACCTAGATTCATAATTTTGTTCTAGTTAAAAGGTTAAAAACTAAAGAAAGCATAATTAGCAAATATGAAACATGCACCTAGGGGCTGGAGAGATAATTCACTCTGTGAGGAGCCAAGAACAGCAGCCTGGTTTTGATCACTGACACCCAGATTAAAAGCCTGGCATCGTGCTGTGCTTATAAGGCCAGTGCTGCAGATGCAGAAATGTGTGGTTCCCTGGAGATTTGGGCCCAAGTACTCTAGCCTACTTCAGAGAGCTCCAAGCCTCTGAAAGACTGCCTCAAAACTCAAGGTGGACTGTTCCTGATGAATGACATCAGATATCGTTCTTTGACCAATACTCCATTTTCCTAATTTCGAACTGAATACATTTTTCATTTTGAAGAATCAAATACTAATATTCATGTACAGTTGTGCTTCTCTTGTGTACACACACACTATTCAAAACACGCATACACACAAAATTTTAAGAAAAGAGAACCCCACAAATTTAGACAAGTGGTAGAATAGGCAATTGCTCTTTACAACAGAAACAGGATAATTAAAAGAAAGAAAGAAAGAAAGAAAGAAAGAAAGAAAGAAAGAAAGAAA